AATGGCAACTTGTCCTTAATTCCTTACTTACTGGGTCATCCTTACTTGGAAAATAACCATTCTAACAGTACTCACACGTAGCTGTGGTAATGAAAATAGATAGTGCCAATATAAGCAACTTGAAAGGTAAAACCACGCAATTATTGGAAAATCCAGATTGCAGAAAACTATTGACTGGCTGGTCAGAACATGGGGCGATCTTATTGAGATAAACAAGGCTTGTAATTCCCTCATTCCGTGCAGTGCTTGCTCAAAACAGGTAGAGGAAAAGGTTTTTTTTAGCACTGTGGGGGGGAAACAATTCACAACACCATCAGTATGATATAACTTTGATGGTATGAATGAAAGCAAGTCAGCACAAGTACTTCTTTTTTCCAGTAACTCTTTAGCTTTAGCTAACCGGCCCAGGAAACAATCACATTCAAAAGAGTCAGTAGGAAACAGGAAATTGTTCTACTGGTATTTCAAAGAGAAGTTAATAACAATTTGTCAGCAGGAACCCATTTTAAGACAAAGTGCTGTATCTTACCATGCTGGCATCAATGATCTGGCCTTGTCCTGACCTGCTCCTTTCCAGGAGAGCCAACACAATCCCAAAAGCGCACATGAGACCTCCTCCAGCAAAGTCTGCCACCAAATTCAGTGGAGCGTAGGGTTTCTCTGAGCTACGGCCCAGCATGGAAAGTAACCCTATTGCAGACAGACATGTTGAGAACTGTATAAATGAAGAATAGCTGAATAATTACTGTAACAGTTATTTTTAAATCACAGTTAAAAGGTCAGTTAAAAATATCACCAATTAAGCCACTTGCATCACAAGCGATCATTGAAGCACAACCTCTGTGCTTCCAAACTGGTTTAAATATTATTGCCTGTTCAGTGGTGTTAAGAAAAGTGTAGCGAATGAACAAAAATAAAAGAACAATTATTACAAGTGAAAGCATTAAATAATTCAGATTTAACACACATAGACTTACCGAAGACCAATGTCATTACAGATAAGGTTACAAATGTGTATTGTACTGTTAGCACACATAATGTCACAGCAAATAGACAACAAAGGGCTCAAAAAAAGCAATAAAACTTGTGCACTATGCAATAAAATGGTCTTTGTGCTCCCATTTAGTTGGGTCAGTCTCGACCTTCACAAACCATTGACAGCACCTGAATGAAAAGAACTTAATAGTACCATGGCAATGTATGGTAGTTCACAATTATAGTCTGGCAATGTTCCTTGACGTCAATAAAACTGTTATTTGACACATCAATGGTTCAAAATCAGGTATTGTCTTTTTGCATGAACGCAACACTGAAATGCACCTGCCAGGATGATCTTGAATTAATGCACATATGGCTTTAATTTAATATTTTATGCAGTTGGCAGCTGCTTTTATCCAAAGCAACTTAAATTGAATTTTAAGTATACATTTTATCAGTTCATGGTTTCATGAAAAAAAAAAACAAAAAAAAAACCTAATATTATTTATAATAAAAGTATACTTAAGCTTTTACTATAATAATGACTGCATTGTCACAGCATAATTTCCATTAAAATTCTTTTCATAGCACCACAGACCCACACTGCTCCATATGGCTTCAGTCTGCAACCTGAGAAGGGCTAGTTCGCGGTCATGTCTTAGTGTGGAGGACACACTGACTCTGCTTGTATGAAAAGTGCAAGAAAAGTTTTCCACCAAAGGTATTTTGAACTTTGAGCTTTACAACCACTGTGCCTAAAGGCAGTCCGGGAAAGCTTACTAGCCAGGCTTCTCTGTACCCGTTTAACTCTGGTGTTTACCTGACATGGCCAGGTAGTTGATATCATGCCCGGCAGCCTTGGTGTAGGATCCGCTCTGACCGTAGCCGGTGAGTCGTGCATAAATCAGGCGCGGATTCTCTTTTAGTAAATCTTCAGGACCTAATCCCATCTTCTCCATAACACCTTAATTATACCAGAGAGATATAATATCAAAGCATGAAAGGAAAAAAGCCGTGAAGGTAAATAAATTTGAATTTAGAAGACCAGAGGTTAAAAGGTAGCTAATTATTCTTGTTTGGATGTAAAATCAGGAAAGAAATGGCAATCATCAATTTAAGTCAAGAACATTTTTATTTATTTATGTTAATCAACAATGCTTTCATTAAAGCAACTGAAATTATTTAGACAAAATAAACAATATGGGCAGAGGTTAATAGTTTAAAAAACAGAGTAATTAATTTGCAAACAAAAATAACTAATTGTGAAACAATATGCTGTACAATCTTGCATTAAAATGGAAGAACATTGGTTTATTTTGTAATTACTGTTTATCAGAACTGCCATAATAATTAAGATTAGCAGAGGCAACATTATTCACTATTAGAACTAGACAAAACACAAAATAAAAAACAAATACATATTATTTTTGAATTGTATTTATTTATATTACAACATATATTTTATATATTTAAAAAAAAAAATGGTAAAGGCATCACAGGCGCTGTTATTAAAAACGTATATTAATTGTGTCAGGAAGATGCTGCATTCTAGCAATAAAATATACCCTGCCAACTAGCTAGAAATGGGATTAACTGGCAAATGCTCGGTCTTCCTGTGTAGAACATTATGAGATTTAACCATGTGAATGTGGAGTCATGTTTGCTTCTTTTAATTAAGGCACTGACCTTTACGATAGGGCTCCAGAACCACATCTGACTGGACACACAGTCTTTTCAAAACAGCCACACCTTTGGGATTCTTCAGATTCAAGGCCACTGATCAGATATTAAAAAACACCAAGCACAAACAAATGACAGTTGTTATTTAGGTCACAGTTCACTCCAGCTGTCCATTTCAAGCTTATTATTAAACTACTATAGCACTAAATAACAACAGTTCTTTATTTATGTTTTCTGTCCAAAACACCTCTGAGCAAACAGCACAAGATAAAACACTAGGAGTCATGACTTTGATACAAAGTACACACTACATACCTTTTAAATTTTGCACTTCGAAACAAACGGACCGGCGCGAGTTTATGACGTAGGCTCACATGATTGTTCTTCTTCTTGGTTTTATGGCGAGTTGCAATCTTGGCGCATATCGCCACCTACTGTGCTATTATGCAATCAGGATTTTCTTTTATTATATTAGTTGTACTGTCTCAACTCTGAAGCCATCAAGTGAATGTGGAGTCATGTTTGCTTCTTTTAATTAAGGCACTGACCTTTACGATAGGGCTCCAGAACCACATCTGACTGGACACACAGTCTTTTCAAAACAGCCACACCTTTGGGATTCTTCAGATTCAAGGCCACTGATCGTTTGCCTCTTGCTTGAGTATCTACAGTCATTGCCACCTTTGTCCGATCTACCCGGATCACTCTTGCACCGAAGTCCGCCAGTATCATCCCGCAGAAGGGTGCAGGGGCCAGTCCTGCAAGCTCAACTACACGCACTCCTGCCAGAGCCATAATGGAACCTGTTCATAATTAAACACGTGAAAAATTTAAAATATTATACAGTGTAGGAGTGGAGGAAACACACTAAAACATATATGTAGCCTACAATATAATTACACAATATAGGGTAAAAAAAAAAAAAAAAAAAAAAAAAATATTAATAAAGCACCATGCACAAACAAATGATATAGTTGTTATTTGGGTCACAGTTCACTCCAGCTGTCCATTTCAAGCTTATTATTAAACTACTATAGCACTAAATAACAACAGTTCTTTATTTATGTTTTCTGTCCAAAACACCTCTGAGCAAACAGCACAAGATAAAACACTAGGAGTCATGACTTTGATACAAAGTACACACTACATACCTTTTAAATTTTGCACTTCGAAACAAACGGACCGGCGCGAGTTTATGACGTAGGCGCACATGATTGTTCTTCTTCTTGGTTTTATGGCGAGTTGCAATCTTGGCGCATATCGCCACCTACTGTGCTATTATGCAATCAGGATTTTCTTTTATTATATTAGTTGTTCTGTCTCAACTCTGAAGCCATCAAGAGTCCAGGTATCGGTTGGCGCTGCGTGTTCAGCTCCTCCGTCCTCCACACTGAACCCCTTAGACTCCAAACCGAAACAGAACATCTTTTATATTATATTCTTTTATCTAGTCCTGTGCTATATAAAAAATTAAATAAAATCCTATATCCTGTTCTATCACTATTAAATTCATATCCCAATAAATATCCCACATCCTTATTCTTCTTACCTTTATCTTTTAGATATGCTATTAGTTCCTTCCTATCCTCACTATACTTTATACATTCATATATTGCATGCTCAATTGTTTCTTTCTCACCACAAAATTCACATAAGCCGTTAACATGTACACCAATTAAAAACAATGAACCATTCAGCCCTGAATGACCCCGTCTTAATCTAGCTTTTTTTTTATTATTCTTTTTATTCAAGGAACAATAACACACAATAAAACAACATTAAAATAAGAAAAGAAAAAGATAGAAGGACAAATTACAACAAACAAAAAAAACAATTGCCAGGGGGAGGAAAGTATAAAACTTCAAAACAAAAATACAAGTCTTAATGTAGCTATTATCCCCTCTTCCTTCCTATTCCTTCCTCTTACAATCATTTTAGTATCTACCTGCTCGCACAGGATTGTGGTTCTTCTTCTTCTTCTTCTTCTTATATCTTTCCGGCAGTGTAGACCAGGATTGTGGTTGTTGTAGTTTTCTTTTAAGTATAAATTTCAAAATATAAATCGTGTAACTGACAAAGTTACTGACAACAAATAAATAAATAAATAAAACATTTTGTGACTTCCATTGTGTGATTTGTTTGGTTCTGGATTTATAACTATAAATAAAACTAAACTATTTACATTTTTATTTTGCTTAGAAAACAAAAGACAAGAGGAAAAAGAGACCAATTCAGGACTGTTTTTTGGGTCTGCTGAAGCATAAATGTAACTTTTGTAGATAATAATTATTTATGAACACTCCATTTCACTCAATTGTAATTTAGATATTCAGTATGCACATGAAACGGTGCAATGGATGATATGCCTTTTTGTTTAATCATTTATTTTATTTAATCTTTCTATTTTGTTTAATCATTTATTTTATTTAATCTTTCTATTTTGTTTAATCATTTATTTTATTTAATCTTTCTATTTCACTTTGTAGCCTATTTCATTTTCGGCTATGAAAACAAAGGATTGATCCCTCAAAAATATGCCATGCCTTAACACAGTTCGCAAATACTAGTGCAGTCAGGAATGAATAATTGAAAATATGCTAAATAAGTGACAGGATCAGATTTAAAACATTGCTCGAAAACAGCCACGCTCAATATTCCATAAATAAATGATACTTGTAAGCCAGATTTGAACTGACAGGAAAATGTTTGGAGACTTGTTGTAAATTAATTTCCAACACTCCGCTACATTCATGCATGAGTTTATTCATGAGTTGACTTCATGGCCTTCACACAATAGCAGTCTTGCACAACATATCAATCCATTAATCAGTTCAAGTAGTGGTAAATGGAGGGAGAAAATATACAACTCATGACATTGAAAATACTGTAAGAGTTTCAGGGATTACATTTCAATATCTAAAGATATTTTGAATGTTTTATGCCTGGGACACACTAAACAACTTTCAAATCTTAACTGATTTTAAAACCATGGGAGACCACATACATGAAGACAGTTTCAACAGACAGTTTTAGCCTTATGCTGTGTTCATGCCATGTCGTAATTGCCATAATTCCAAGATGACAACACGTGACGTTCTACTGCCCATGTTCTCGGACGCAATTTTTCAGAACAAATCATCACGCAAACAGCTTGCAGCTAGGCATGGGAAAATAACCGGTTTCAAGGTATACCGCGGTTTGGAAACGTCACGGTTTCAAAACCACTACAATTTCCCGTTATACCGTTCCTGCGGTATGCGCAGTTTTTTTTACGTGTCGTCAAGACGGAAAGTGCAGGACTCCCTCAGTTGTGTGCAGCGAAGAGCGTAG